ATTAATTATAATACCGAAATGTTATTCGACCATCTGGGATGAATGAATTACAAGTCAAAATCTTTATATTCACCTTCTTAGTAAACGTCAACTTATTGTCTGATGTGAATAAAGAAACAAGAAGCCTTAACAAACTACGGAAGCTGTTTTTGGGGATGTTATTTCATTTAATTCAAAGCAGTAACATTTACTTTTGTCCCTAGTCTATTCTAAAGATCATGAGATTTTGTTTGATGTATGAATCACTGTCATAGCCTTTTCTGTTCCAAAGCTATTGTAATTTAAACGTAATCTTTTATACTCTATTTTCTACTGTAATCCCCCAGTTTGGGACATAAATGTATTTTCCTAATTGTTTTACGTTGTCGTCAGGACAGTCATCTATTTATTCATGTATCTTTTTACACTAATCTAAAATCGGGTACCAGATCGGAATTTGGAATAAAGTGAGTAGTGTTCCAGTTATCTTGTTTTCTCTTTCGCGTGTGCCTATCAGCCAATCAGGTGATAGAATAGTTTTCGTCATTTCACCTCACTTCGAACTCACGCATACTAACCATAAGGTTAAACCAGTCAGCCTATCGCGTCAAAATCTTAATCTACATTAGACAAGTTATTCTCGGTACGAAAGTGACTAGACAAATCAAGGATGTAACATTGTCATTCACAATGTTTTATTAGTTTGTCAAACAGGTTGGAATATATACTTCCGGATTTACATTATGGATATTACAGAATATTACAGAGATCTTGTCCCGTTAACTCATTTGTTAATTCATTAAAACAATTCCTTAGACCCTTCCTAGTTTGTTTCCTTAGAAGTAAACAGTGCATAATGTAAGTACTGTTTGCTTGACTCATTTTTTTGGAAGATCACTTAAAGTTATACAAACGTTTTGTCTAAACAACCAAGAACAAGATGGAAATAAGTCACTTAACTATAGTCAATTCATTGATAATTCATTGTATCCATACCATAGATTTATGGAAGGATGGTAATATTTTTGATATGAAGTTTATATATTACTCTTCAGTGATCCAATATTGATTTCATATTGTATAATACATCCCTGAAAAATTATGGATCCGATTCAATGGATTTGGTTACACAAGACTAGTGGATTTTGAAACTTTTCAAACAAACGATACTAAATGAATTTAAACTTCACCCCAATGCACAAGCAAGTTGCTATCAGGACTCAGTAGCCGAGTGGATAACACGATGGCGTTTGAAGCGAAAGTTACTGGGTTCGAGTACCGGAGTGAACATTAACTCTTAGATGTAGTACACCCAGTTGACGAGTCCCAAATAGGACTAAACGCGTGTCAAACTGGATTAGACTACTAGCCACTATCCATCTTTGCTTATAATGCTTGTGAATTACGGCTATATCGAGGCAACAATAAGCATAGTATGCATATACGTCAATTAGAGACTGATCAGTTGCAGTCCTAACACATCGATGGGAAGATTCAAACAAACAATACTAAATGAACTTTTCATAGATTTCCCATTATTTATATTACAAATATGCAACTACGAATATAAGTTCTCACTTATGAATCATTTCTTTTTAAGTACAATTTTTCTTTTATTTCTTATTGTAGTGTGGTATATACTACTGATCTCGACAAATATAAGTAGTATGTAACATCAATCGAAAGTGAAGCGTCAGGAGATAGAAGGTTAAGAAGATGGAAGAAAGAGAACAAGAATAATGAATGATTGGCATGGAAACAAAAGAACAGTTAATCTGAGATCATTGATTGTGTTACGTCTGGCCGATTGTGAACGCCATATTCGCTTCCCTAAGCTAGTTCCGTATCCCCCGAGCTGAAACTATACACCGCGACTTGAAGACCAGAGAAAAGACACGAGTATGAGAGAAACACTTCACTACAGGGTTCAATCTTGTCACAGAAAATCATAGGTATTTATAGATGTTAGCCAATCCATTAATGGCATATTATGATACCGACCAATAATATCACGCCACGTTGAAACTTTGGAATGTTCCATTGTATTCTGATTGCCTGGGGCTCTTTATGAGCCTCTGGAGGCTCTGTTAGAGTTCTCTGGAAGCCAAATCAACAGAATGACATTTTGCAAATGAAGTATTTACTGTTTGGTTTTCAGATTATACTAAGCGATTACGTAATTTTATATTGAATTACGATTGATTGCCCCTATTTGTGATCTTGTTCACTACAGTGTTACAAACTAGATTTACACAACAAAAATCATTCTCTTTTTAAAACTAAGGTACATCAACTAGTAATTGATGTCATACTGCATGACCACCTACTGCTACCAAAGGCTTGTCAAGTATAAAATAAATATCGGAGGGGAGTTTGGTGAAGATTTCAGTAATTTTTATATAGTTCAGATTGGTTGAAGTTAGACATGAACACCGTTGGATGCCAGCTCAGAAGTCTAGAAGTTAAGCGCTCGAGCACAAGACTTATAGATCCAGAGTTCGAATCTCACAAGGCATAATCGTGGATGTCCACTGCTGAGGAGTCCCACAATAAGAAGAAACGGCCGTCCAATGCTTTCAGATTTTTCATAGTGGTCTAGCTTCAATTGACACATGATTTCGATCTCAATAAGTAAAAAAGTTGTATGTTTGACGTTTTGTGACTTAATATAAGCTACTTCTTCAGAAATACAAGTTTCTTTGCTCATTGGGATATAACGGAAAATGTAAATTTATCATTACTTTTCTACTGAATGCTCAAATTACTTAAATTTATCAAATCCAACCATGGTGTTCATACCATGTCAAGGAAGTTTTCCTGTATAATTAATAGACTTAAATGAATATAATAGGCAAATGTCTTTTCTTATGATAACACTTACTTACCTACTTATGTCTGTTACACCTTTTGTGGAGGACCATACGCCACAGTTTGAATAAAAGATTGAATTCTTAATCTATTAATTTGTAACGTGAATCATCTAGACATCAAATGACGGCTTCTGAATCAGGGCATTTTTAAATAACAACGTCAACTATTAGAAGTCCTTCCAACATGATATACTGACATTATGTCATTAATTTAATGTAGTGAATTGGATCCATATTAAGTTAAATAAAGTGTTATTCTCCTCGGAGTTTTTACTTTAATTTGTCGGTAATTCATTGTTCTATTGATTATGTAATTCGATTATTGCATGGGATAATTGTATATTAATTCAGTATACAATCTTTAAAATCTAGTATTACTACTACTACTACTACTACTACTACTGCTATGACGACGACTACGACGACAACGACTACTACGACTAATATGACTAATATGACTACTATGACTACTTTAACGAACAAGAAGACGAGTGGAGACAATCGAATGTATTCAAACATACTATCAATCAATTGTTTCAATCTTGACCATTTCTTCTGCAAATATCGGTCTATCGTCTCTGATTATTGTTATTGTTCATTCATTTTCATAGCAAGTGCGTCCCATCCGGGGTCTTTCCTTATGGATCTTCAACTGAAATACATTCTCTACCTGACCATTGTTATATATTACTTGTGTGAATATAAGTAACCCACACCACACTACTACTATTTAACAATGGTGTCAATGAGGTTCACATTATTATTTTATTGAACAACTTCCAACTTATCATCAGGTGAATATATCGGGTGGTAAACATTCTATTTATATCTAGTATACTAAAAGTTCAAGCCATTGACATCTTCGGCCAATTTCTAGGCTCCTTCCATTTTTGACACCTGAATTCTAGAGGACAATAGAAGATGAAACTATTAAATAAAGTTAATTATCGTTCTTAATTTAACTGAAGTGAACTATGAGTATTTATAAATCTACCATTGAATTAGGGAGAATAAAACAGCGTTCAGCGGAGGAATAAATCAGGAAGAAGTGCTACCAGTGGATAAGATACAAATTTAGGAAAGCAACTAACTGTGTTACAAGGCGAGAGCTCATATGAAATCCTGAAGTCGAAAAGAAGAAAGAAAGACCAAAGAGCATATTACGCCGAGAAATATAGATAGACATGAAAAGAATGAACAACAACTGGATAGAACTAGAAAGCACTACCAAGGACAAAGTGGGTTGGAGAATGCTGGTCAGCGGCCTATGATTCATTGAGTGTAACAGATGTACGTAAAAAGTAAAATCCGGTTACTTAGAGTTTCTCAGAAATATCTTATTGGTTAAAAGTAATTTAGGGTATTTTATTTGGTTTTCAAAAGAATTTTTTTTGGTGTAGTTATAGCAATCCCTTACGAAATAAACAATAGTCACTATATAAATTGTTAGGGAGGATCAAAGGATCAAAGGATTTGCATAGCAGAAGCTGTAGTTATACTATCACTAATCATTAAATGATCATTCAATTCACATTTATATTTATTCGACTAATTTAATTATTGAATTCATAAGTCAATTAAAGTTAGACCACCATGGAAAACCTGGAAACACTAAATGGCTATTTCGTTGTATTATAGAACTCCTCAGTAGTGCGAAATCCATGATCCACGTTCTTCATGGTGATCTAGTATATTAAATTACCATAAAATTTTACAAAACCTCCTTCATAATCATATTCAACTTCATTGAATTGACTATCAGCTACATACGATCTTTTTGAATATACAAAAGAGTTGATTAAATTACTGATTCCGTTCAAATCATTCTTGAAATATTTTAAATCAAGAACCTTTAAGGAATCATCTTCATTACAAATGAATTCATATGAAATATAATTTGAAACTTGAAATCATAAATCAATTGAATCTAGACCACCACCATGAAAAGCCTGGAAGAACTGAATGACCGTTTCGTCCTATTATGGGACTCTTTAGAACTGCATATTCATGGTCCCGCCGCACTAGCGAGCGAGATTCAAACCCAGGACCTATCTGAGTCCTTAACCGATTTCAACTTTGAAAAAAATTACTGAAATCTTCACAATACCCCCCTTTTAAATATTTCAATAAATAGAATTATTAATAACTTACTGATCATCCTTTGAAATGTAATAAATCCTTTTTTCATGTAAAATGATAATTGTATATTAAAACAAAATGGTAACTAACATGTGTATATCCGAGTTTTCTTTGTTTCTTTTTCTTTTCTTTTCTCTTTTTTTTTCTTTTTTTTCTTCATTTTTTTTGTTGTTGTTTGTCACATTCAATAATCTAAAAAACAAAAATCAATATAACCAAATTATAATAACATACCTATGCAATCCAATCAATGTACTTCAATTGTGCATATATTTATGTACTTCTATCTATGTATATTAATATGACTATAGGTGATTTATAATGTGTGTGTGTGTGTATGTGAGTGCACATCTACATGGTAACTAATATCTGTGCATAATTTGTCCGAAAAAAATAATCAAAAAAAAGTAATTCCATAGAAGACACCCCTGTTTGTTGAATGGAATAAAAGAAACTTATTCAATAGTGAATATCATCTACCAATAGACATAATTGTTGAGTGTGTGTGTGTGTGTATATATGGATACATATATATATGACATGTATACATGTAACTGAAGTAACTGAAGATATCATGTTTTTATGAATGAATTGAATTAATATCTGGGACATACATACACACAGAAGTAAACAGGTGGTATTACGTAATCAAACTGATTCGATAGATATTTTAGAAAATATTTTACATTAATACCATAGGATGCTAGCTGGTTTAATGGTGTAGAGGTTAAGTGTTCAAGCGTTACACCGATAGATCCTGATTTCGAATCCCACGGGTTGAGATTGTAAATGTGTGATGCTGAGGAGTGCCATATTGAGACGAAACGGTCATTTAGTGCTTCTAAGCTTTCTATGGTGATCTAATTTCAATTGACTCATGAATTCAATTATTGAATAGTGATTTCACAATTTTAGACAAGTTGAAATTATTGAAACCTTTATTAAGATTATAAAAAAAAAGATAAAATTGTCGCTTGCAATGGAATCTAGAATGTGAGTTTCGTCCTATTCGGGACTCGTCAGTTGAATATGACTGATAAAATGAGCACTTGTTAAGTTAATATTATACGATGACGGAGTAATAGTTAATATTATGTTTTTTTAGTTCTGATTGCTGATCATGATGTAAAGTGGTCACTATGATCAAATGATTCTGCACATTTATACTTTGATAAATGATTGAAGGTAATCGACTGGATCGTATCAAGAAGATATATGAACTATTTGTAGGAAGTAACTTTTCATGTGTAAACTGGACTTGTTTCGCCTACAATTAGCGGCTTTATCACTAAGATGTACATCAATCAAGTTCTTCACAATAAATTAAGAGGACGAAAAGCGAATGTCTGGCGCTCTAACCAGGTTGGTGTACACGGAAAGACCACTTAGAAAAATAAGAAAACCCTGATTCCAAACCAATGCTGCACATGGGCTCCAGTATCTTGAAGGAACAAATGGCATATGAATCAATTGTTGGTCACCGACTACAATGGGACTGCATCTCCTCACGATGCTCCACTGTCTTGTGGATCAGACCTTTAGGTCAAAGGCTCGGGGTGTCCCCCCTAAGAATATCGCCTGCTTCGGTCTAGGCACCTGGGTAGTATTATAGCAACCATCCTACAATCAATTTCGATTATAGCCAATTTTGGTTAAGCCCTTTTTTATAACTTACTTAACAGACATTGTCATTTGGATAGTAACAATTTGCATATTCTTTGCACTGCAATAACACTAGAGCACATGACACTCTAGCCGAAATGTTGACTGCTTAAATATCATTCGATGACTCATACTCCTACCCATATATGTACGCACGCAAATATTATTATCAGCCTTTGTTTTGCTTTGCTGTGCCCGTATTAAATTTGACTATAAATTGCCTATGTAATTGCTTGCTATTTCGCTCGCTCGCTCGCTTGGTCCTCGTTCGTTTCCTTCGCTTGTTTGCCTGTTCACTCGCTCGTTCATATTCGCTCAGGTGTTGTTAGCTTTCGAACCTGAGTCATTCGACAATAAACTGTAGTTGCTGCTATCCTTTGTCTTCTGATTTTACGCACCGTTAAGTTTAGAATTATAACGGTTATCGAAGTAAACGGTTAACGAATCGCGGCACTACAGAATTGGAGGCCTCGCCGAACAAGCACGACGCAATAGAATTGGATACCTCGCCGAACAAGCACGACGCAATAGAATTGGATATCTCGCTGAACGAGCACGACGCAATATAATTGGTTGCCTCGCCATACGAACACGACACTACAGAATTGGATGCCTCGACGAGCGAACACAAAACAATTTTCGACGAGATAATTTCATTTCGAAAATTCAACGTACTCTGTTTCTATTCGAATTATTATCTGGATTATAATCATAATTGTGGATTTATTATATCACAATTTTAATCGCACGTACATTATCCCATAAACATTATTGAACTTAACGATAATATTCATAATAAATAACGATTATTCACGAACAATTGATATATTGGTGCAATTTAGTAAGTCTGTTCCATTTTATAAATTGTACCTTTTGTTATTATCATTTTTTTCATCGATTCATTTCTCTTAGTGACAATAACGTTATATTCGCATACTACTTAATTTATTATTATTATTATTATTATTATTATTATTATTATTATTATTATTATTAGTAATGTCTTTAAATAACGAAACAATCGATCTTTCACAGTCACCATCCGTGGGAGTTATTAATGTTACTATTCCCTCTTTTAATGTTAATGATCCTCAACTCTGGTTTATTAGACTTGAAAGTTACTTCGTAGCCAATCGTATTATTTTACAGCGACATAAGTTCGGCTATGCAAGCTCACTACTTCCAGATGAAGTAGCAGACAAGGTACGAGAGGTCCTAACTAAGCCGGATGCGGTAAATCCGTACGATGTATTGAAACAGGCAGTAATAAAAGCTCTCTCGTTAAACGACCGGCAAGCTGTCGAGCAGTTGCTCAGTGAAGTTCAAATCGGAGATAGAACGCCTTCACAGTTAAAAACGTATATGAGCAACGTAATTGGAGACAGAAATGTGGATAAAAATATATTTTACCACTTATGGTTGCGACGACTCCCACCGAACGTACAGCAGATCCTCGCTGTTGGAGATAGCGATGTAGACATAGACAATATCGCTAAAATAGCCGATAAGATTTACGAGAGAATGAGAAATGCGACTTCACAAACACTCAACTTCACAGTTGACGAAAGAATCGAGGCCTTGCAAAAGGAAATTAATGCGCTATGCCATAAACTAACGAGTCTAAATCACAACGACAGGAAAAGAAGTTGGTCGCGCAGCAGATCAAGAAATAGAAACCGATCATTTTCTAAGGGACTACCAGATCCTGCTATATGCTGGTACCATCAAACATTTGGGTACAGAGCTCGAAAATGCAGGTCTCCATGCAAATTTAAACGATCCCAACGATTCTCAGTAACGACTACGAAAATCAACGCAGCTCCCACGAGCAATCGTTTATTCTATGTTCAGGACAGAGTAACGGGCGCGCAGTTTTTAGTAGACACGGGAGCAGAGATAAGCGTCGTCCCTCCATTGAGCAACGAAAAACAAAATATCGATACTGCGCTAACTCTTAAAGCAGCGAATAGATCCGATATAAAGACATATGGCAAGCGAAAACTAACCTTGAATTTCGGCCGTAATATTTCACTTCGCTGGGAATTTGTAATCGCTGATGTTTCCGTACCCATAATTGGTATCGATTTCTTAAAGAATTTTGACCTAATAGTGGATTCTCGACGAAACCAACTAGTGAATGGGGAACGCTCAGTAGTCATAAGAGGAGTGACCACTGATCATGTATCTATGAATTTAGTAGTGTCGAAAGATAAGAACGAGCAATATAAGTCACTTCTAAATAAGTTCGCCGATTTAACGAGGTCATCATACGACAACAAAGATCTTAAACATACAGTACAGCACCATATCGTCACGAAAGGTCCACCGACTAGAGTAAGAGCGCGAAGGTTGGACCCAAAAAGGTTAAACATTGCAAAACGAGAATTCGAAAAACTAATGAAACTTGGTATCATAAGGCCATCTAATAGTCCCTGGGCATCTCCGTTACATATGGTTCCCAAAAAGAATGGAGAAATTAGACCATGTGGAGATTATAGAGCCCTTAACAAGCAAACGATAGCAGATAGATACCCAGTGCCACATATTCACGATATCACTACCGAAATAGAAGGTGCTACGATTTTTTCGAAAATTGATCTTGTTCGGGCGTACTACCACATTCCAGTGGCCCCAGAAGACATACCGAAAACGGCTGTAATCACTCCATTTGGTTTATTTGAGTTTTTACGAATGCCATTTGGACTAACTAATGCAGCTCAAACCTTTCAGCGATTTATTGATCAGGTTGTTAGAGGTTTGACAGGGGTATACGCATATATCGACGATATATTAGTAGCTAGCGCTACCGTCGAAGAACATCTACAACATCTACGACAGTTATTCACGAGACTTCAAGAACATGGTGTCACTATTAACGTGGAGAAATGTGAATTTGGAAAGAAATCATTGCAATTCCTAGGTCATATGATAAATTCTCGAGGTATCATGCCAGTTCCAGCAGAAGTTGCTGCTATTCGTAATTATCCGTTGCCCGAGTCACAAAAAAAGTTACGACGATTCTTGGGACTAATAAACTATTATAGGCGATTTATTCCAAACTGCGCAGCAATACTACAGCCATTAACGGACGCTTTGCGAGGAAATACCCGAACATTCCATCTATCGACAGAGGCCATACAGGCTTTTGAGAACGCTAAGCGAGCACTTCATGAGAAAATGATATTAGTTCGACGAAAGAGCGAAGCGCCACTAGCCATCATGACGGACGCATCGAACATAGCAGTAGGAGCTGTACTGCAGCAGTTAGTAAACGGTACATGGGAACCGATTTCATTTTTCTCGAGGAGATTAAACCCTACACAAACGAGGTACAGTACGTTCGGAAGAGAACTATTAGCGATTTACTTGGCAATCAAACATTTCCGACACATGATAGAGGGTACCATTTTTACAGTGTATACAGACCATAAACCCCTCACGAAAGCATTAAACGCCAAGCAGGATAACTATTCGCCGAGGGAAATTCGACAATTAGAATTTATTTCCCAATTTACTTCTAGCATACAGTATA